TAGTACACAATTTCAACCATCATGCAGCTAGATAAATGTACCTTTTAATCTAGTTAATCTAGCTGTAAGTGGGCGCTGCAGCTACTTCTGCAGCTAGATTTTCTCGCTTACTTAGTTTTGCTTGGGCAAGACCAGCTAGAAGAACATTCTCTCTCATTTTTGCAGTGTCTGGATTGGTGCCAGCTAACACAAGTAATCCTGCACCAGCCGATTCAATAATCAATGAGATAATGTCACTAGCGATAAAAATCCAAACAATTAGTTTCTGTTTGATCAGTGCCTACTAATCACCTACAGCATGCATGAATATAAGGACATTCGTCCGATTAGATAACAGTTATTGAGCGGTTGACAGTGGCTAATAGAAGAGACAAAGCAATGATATTTTCAATAGAATTCATCACAACAAATCGAAAGACACAATCTTCTATTGCTCGAGAAAATATATTATCGATGCCATATGATGATTCACCCGTTGTGAAGTACTTTTAACCAGCATCAATATAGCTCTTACACTTACAATAGAAGAATGAGTAAGACAACCATCTAAATTGAATTATTCTTTTTATAGTATTTTTTTTCTCCCTACGTTATCAAGCATGGAGCACTTACTTTTGTGACTTCCAGTGTCTTGGTGTGACCTGGACGTCACAAAAGTACGTGTCTATAACAACAAACTGTAGAACTGAAAGGACTATTAAAGGTGAGGAGCGTCACTCGGCTCGTTCTCTTTCTTACTCATTTTGATACTATAAAAAGCCTAGTAGACTTCTTTTATTATTTTAACACTTTACTTACACACATTGACAATATTGAGTGGATCTATTCGTCAACAACTATTTTTCAACTTAGATTTTCGAATGGCTGCTAAATCTATAAATTATGCTACTGAGTATTCATCTATTATTTTCAATCCAATAATAGTGTTTCCACCAGAAAAAGATCCAAATTGCTTGCAAAAATTTCTTCATTCGAAATATTTCAAATATCTAAAAAAATTTTTATTTGTAATATTTATACTTAATCTAATGGGATGGGGTAATATGTTGCTTTTCATATCAGTTGGTGCAGCAAATAAAACAATGCCTGACGAACGTACACGAAAGATGTGGATTGAAATTGGTTTTCAAGTTGTTAATGGTCTTCTTTTTATAATGATTGTTGGTCATACTCCATGGCGAATACGTGATCTTTATCAATTTTATAGTGAAAAACATCGACCTGCACTTCTTCAGCGTCATAAATATACAAATAATCTCATATTGCTTCAGTTTATCCTTTGGAGTTTAATAGTAAATTCTATATTTCAAGTAGCTGTAGCTATTTGTATGTGGTCAATGGATATGCACAAAAGACCTATGTGGGCAGTAAGTATCTTTGGTGGACTTAGCTTAGTTTCAGGTGTATTTGCTGGTTTGGCACAATTTATATTAGAAAGAATAGCAAAAAACAAAGTAAAAATGCAACAACAGTCCACTAGCGTTATTTAAAGTTTTCATTTATTCATCTTGTATATTTTCGTACTGAATAATACTCAAAATAAATAATATTTTCAATTAGAAAAAGAATTTAACATAGAAAATTCGAGTTTTTCAACATGGATAATTATTCATGATATTCATCTCTACGTTGTAAACGAATAATAACTTCTTTTGGTGTAATTACAAAACCTGTTTCTAATTGTTCAAAACATTTATTTGTTTTATCACTACAATTAACCAATGAATATGTTTTTAGTAGACGAACAAGTGCCATTTTTAATTCTATTAATGCAAAACGCATACCAACGCAATTTCGCGGTCCAGCTCCAGAAGGAATGCATACCATTGGATGACGTTTCGTTTCAAATCGTTTAGGATAAAATATATGTGGATCAACTGGACCCCATAAATCAGGATCAAAATGTAAAGTATACATATCAATTGCAATTCGTGTACCAGCTGGAATAATACCAATTCTTTTTATATGAAATTCTTCAGTACTTGGACGATTTATTATAAGTGGTGCAATAGGATACATACGAAGTGTCTCACGAATAAACATATTGAGATATTCCATCTGTGAAACTGTATCATAGGATGGCATATCATTTTTATTTTCAGATTCAAGATGAGCATCAATATTTTGTACAGGTGAAGAGCTACTAAAGAGCTGCGCACACCTCTCGTCCAACGGCACCGACCTGCTCGAGGGTCTTCTTCTTTTTCTCGATCTTTTTCTCAAGAGAAAGAATAGTGTAGTTATTGTTTCATATGTTTTTCACTGAATGACGCTATACATTTAAATGTCTCCGGGTTTCTGCCTGTTTTTGATGATAATCCCGATTCTTCAACTTTCTAAGGATGCTCGAGCTTTAAAAGCGTATTCTTTGATAATCTAGATGCATGAGTAGAGCGACCTGCTTTTTAGCAGCTGGTAATCCAAGCGGTACTTTGGCCATTTTTTGCCTTTCGTCATTTTTTGCCTTTTTTAAACGTACACTAACAGTTCTGACGTGTTTCTTTCGTAGTCTAAACACAGAGAAAACACTTGATAGACACCATCGTTTCAGTCTTTATAGAACTGACAAGAGTTCGCATCTGGATGTGTAACTCTCTATTGAACCTTTAAAAACCCCCACTGTTTATAAATATACCAACAGAGGAAGAAGAATTCAGACTTAGGTATGAATCCATTAAATCCTAAGGCTACCAGTAATACAATGTTGAACGTTTAATTTCAAGGCCACGTTCGTTCAGTTTTTCAGCTAAATCATCTAGTGTTAAACATGGTCTAACAACAGTGTTGAACAAAATATTTGAATTGGCGGGTATTGGTAACGTTGTAAGATGTCGATTATTCAACAAGGTGCATATATTTAACACATTCTCATATCTCATCCTGTTGTGGTCAGTACCACATTACCGTTTCCGCATTAAATCGATTTAGAGCCAATAATTTAGAAAAATCTAACCGTTTGATAAAAGCAGTATCTATATCTTATTCAATTAAAATTA